GATATTAACATTGACGTCAAAAGAGGAGTTAGGCAAGGCGATACCATCTCGCCAAAATTATTTACCGCCACCCTCCAGAACGTCATGCAAACATTGGAATGGGATAATATGGGAGTGGAAATCGATGGTTGATAGTTACATCATCTTTGCTTTGCAGATGACATCGTCCTTATAACACCAGACATTAGCCAAGCGGAACGTATGCTTCCCGACCTTGATAAATCCTGTGGAGAGATTGGTTTTCGACTAAATCTCAAAAAAAAAATGTTATCTCCGAATGCTTCAGTTATATCTATCTAGGTCGGAAAATCAATATGATGAACGACCTAGTTCCAGAGCTGAGCAGAAGAAAAAGAGCGGCTTGGGAAGTTTTCAAGAGCATTTGGAGGTAGTGAAGCGGACAAAGGACACCCGACTCCGTGCCCACCTTTTCGACTCAACGGTACTTCCTGCCCTAACGCATGCGTCCGAAACTGGTCGCTGCGTAAGCAGGATGAAAGGTCACTCAGCGTTATCGAACGCGCAGTCGAAAAGATGATGCTAGGAGTATCCCGTTCCATACAAGTAAGGGATGGGATCCGAAACTCCGATTTGCGTCAACGATCAAAAATCAAAGATGCTGTTCTCTATGCCAAACAATCCAAGATAACGTGGGCCGGACACGTAATGCGCATGAATGACAACCGATAAACAAGAGCCATTAATGATTGGATTCCTCGAGATGTCAAACGTAGAGCAGGAAGACCACCGACCCGATGGTCAGGGTTCTTCACAAAGAGCCTTGAAGAGAGATATGATGCTCGACGAGTCCCTATTGCGAGCAGAATCCACTGGGCTAGTCTTGCACGCGACAGGGAAAATGGAACATTTACTGACGCCCGCTCGAGTCACTCGACGATCAATGGGACTACAAGTGATACAGGTGTCTTCTTCCTAGAAATAAGTTTCACGTCACCAATGAGAGTTCATAGCGACAGGAAGAGTTGGATGTACACTCAGAAAGCTAACTCCGTGATAAAAAGTTGAATAAATCCTTTCACTGGCTAAAAACCCAAGGCTTGAAATATTTACGTCGCACCGCTGATAATATCTGTAAAGTCGTGGCCACAGTACGAAGGAAGAAAAACAAAAGTAAAAAAAATGCTAACTACTAAAAAAAACCGACCTCGTTCTTTCTGTGCAGAATTGGTTGACCAGTGTAGAAAGCGAACCGTCTATGTGCAAAAGTAGACGTGGATAAGAAGTGACGTTGCACTCAGAAGAGCGACCAACTCGTTGATCGCCGTTGAATAACAAGTAATGATGGAAAAATCTACGAGAAAACTATCAGTAATAACCACGATGTCTACTTTTATTTATTGCCTATTATTATTTTTCACGGTAAGGTATGATGTGAAATACAACCACTATGATAATGAAACATTTGCGAAACTCCGAACGCAAGGCCAGATCGAAGCCGCGATTAGCCTTTCTGGGAGCGCACGTGTTACCAGCTAACAGGTGATTGGTTATGTCACCGTCAGGTAGAAAACTGGACGAAAGGCAAAGCACGGGCCTCTGTAGTGCAGTGGATAACACGTGACCACCCGGAAAGGGTAATCGCGGGGTTCGATCAGGCCCAGAGTCCAAGTTTTGCGAATATCTCGTCATCTTAGTGGTTTCGTTAGTAGCATTGGCGAAAAAAATACAAAACAACTTCCATGACCGACTATCTATTAACCTTGGCATTGATCAAATAATTCTATATATTCTTGTTGGGCAAACGCGAGGCAAACGCAAAATTGCATCATCTGCCCTAATGGTAGATGTGGTACCATCTATGAGTTCGGGTACAGTGTATCTAATCTCTTGTAAATCGTGCTGGGACGAATACATTGGCGAAACGGGTAGACCGCCACATAAAAGAACACCCAGTCGGTAAACTTAAACCAAATATTCTACTAGGCACGCATAGGACGCAAAAACATAACAGAGAAGATTTTGAAGTAGGAGTTACGATCTTCGCACAGGAATCAAAAACACAAGCGCCTAAAACTCTTGAGGCATTCTGGATTAATTCCAAGAATCTGAGAATGAACCGCAGCGAAGAATCCCTCATTATCACGTGTCATACTGGGCAGTATATAAGCCTTTTATTCTGGTGAGATGGGCACATTGCTATTCTTTGGGAATCCTGGGCGGTTGGTGTCCACGTGACATATTTAGTGGAAGACTCATAGAAAGCGGTGAGTGTGTAAAGATTCTGTGTTTAATGTGACTGAAATCTTGGTTTAGCGTTTTCTTTGTTTCGTTATGGAGGTGCCTGGCCGAATAGGTTGCTGTCAACTTGACCTTTCCAGGCTCTGAGGAAGGCGAAATCCGCCGAAACGTCAGCTTGCGCGCAAATAAAGAAATAAAATAACACCTCGTGTTTGTTAAACAAAAATATATAGAATTATACAAAATAGCGTCTAATGGATATGTCATTTAACATGGAACAAGACTACGTAGCAAAACTGAAGGGGGATGAAAACTACGTTTCAAAATGTATAAGAAAGAATTGTATCACTGATGAACACTTACGCTACAATGGGAGTCTTCTGCATTACACTCAAGAATCAATAACACAACTTCACAGACAATTTCGAAAACCGGCATACATACTGCTTTGGTAGAATAATCAATAACATTTTGTTCCATTCGTGGGCTTACGCGAGGTTGTTCCCAAATTTTTATTCGGCTGAAGTCTAGACATTTTCTTATTTCCTTTCGTCTGAAGACCGCGGTTCTGAAGCAGGAAAGGAACACGTAGGAATGTCAGCCAAATAAAAGTTGTGTGACAACCACGTTTAAGTTTATGAATAGAACGAAACTCAATCCCGGTTCCTTAATGTATTGAAGTTTGAAATACGCTTAGTTGGCATCTGGCTCAAGCCACCCTTTCACCACTATAACCTTTTGACCCAACAGTTAACAAATGATAGCCATAAAACAAGCCAGATGATTTGACCATAACTACCCAAGCCCCTAAGGATCGCCAAATACAGATATCTCGAAGGCTGACATAACTAGAAATTACACTAGCAGACAATTATCTATTAGTGACATATAACAGAGTAGCAATAGCTACTTCATTCCCCTAATTGCCCAAAGTTACCCAGGTAATCTTTGGGAAGGAAGCTTGAAGGCTGGTAAGCAACGCAGTGCTTTAGTACTATGTAGTGTAGTAGGGAAATATCTCAGTACTTTTTTTACTATTTAGTAATGGCATTTTCACTAATACTTTAAGAGTACTTTAAACGACATTGTAACTCGATTCAGATGTTGATTTACTGATAAGTTTAAAACGCCTTGTTGTAAAATTGTCCTCTAACCAGTGGTTGGGCAGTATCGCTTTCCTCGTTGCGACTATGAAGATTCACAAATAACTGCTGTGGACATTTGAAATACTGAGGCCTTAACGAAGGCCACAGTGTCGTAAGATTAGCTACAACGGAAACTTTTCTAACAAACTTAGTTAGCCACATTACTGATGCAATGAAACGGAAAGCAAATGAAAGTCGATCCCTTTTTTTCAAATATTCTCATACTACTACAACTTCATCACGTTCTTAGAACTGATCAGACCGTGACCTTTACTTGGATTTCTTTTTCGGAAGAGTCGGAAATGACACTCATGGATGAAAACCAGGTTATACTAGAAAGGGCTAGTAGTTTTAGATCAGTCAGAACATGGAACAGGTGACATATTGGAGGTAGCAAGCCTGAACGGAGAGAGTACTGCGGTAAATGAATAGAATGATGCTCCTTCACGGGTGGATTTACTCCTTAGTGATAGGTGAATGTTTCGATTTCAGTGATATCTGACAAAATCCGGTGCTAACCTCTTAGGATTCCAATCAAATTTCGAAGTGGTGAAACTCGCTACGCGCCATATCTTTCATGAAACACTCTTGTAACGTATTCTTCAGATCTAAGTGAGAAATCAATGCTGAAGCGCTCGCTATCTTGAGAAACTAAGCTCAGCGTCGCTCCCTCCTACTCGTTTAATTCTTAAGCCTAATCGATCACACTAAACACTTTCTTCGCTCAGTCGTTAGCACACTACCATTGAATTTTAGGATTGAAGAAGGACACTTCAGCAAAAGAAGAAGTAGGAAACTCGCGCGATAAGCTAGGACGATGTGCGGAAACTCAGGCTGGAGCGCTTTCAAGACCACCAATTCGATACGCGACGCAACTGCGTCGCAGCCTCCTGCATTCGGCGCCAGTTGGATTCGAAATGGTTGCCGTACTCCTATCGATACGTGTCTTGAAAAATTGTGCTTCCTTTCTTTTCGATTTCAGTAAAGATTTGGAATTTTCATTCCAGGAAAATTGTTCTAAGATAAATGTATGATATGCGCTGTTTTACTTAACAGAGTTACAAATCGGTGTTTCTTTCATTGGTCGAGTTATTGTTTGAGTTCCATTGATAGACGCTGAATAAATCGTGAGACCATCTTGGATTGTTAAGCTTCCACAAGGCTTAGCGTTAGCTCAACCCTAAGCCTAACAATCCAAAAAGGTATGGATTACTACTTACCGACGTTAAATGACTAGGTTTGGAAATTCATAGATAGAAAACGATGGCGTAAATAATCTTTCCTTTCTTTGTGAAAGTGATTGTGATTCTCTAGATATGTGGTGTTTTTTTTATTATGAAGAGCGTAGATTGGCTTCCTAGTAGGAAGATTTTCTCGAAAATCGGACGAGGATATTCCTGACCGTTGTATAGCCGGTTTAGTTACTTGTCTCAACAAAGTAGTTGTTTTTTCTTTCTGCTAAGTCAGATGTAAACTACGTTTTTACTGAGAGGAGTTGTTCGAATGTGGATGAGGTTGACGATCTTTCCGATCATTGTGTCTTCCTTTCAATTACTTCATTCTTTTCTTCTCCTAGTGAAATGCGTTTTCAGAGTCATGGATGGTATAGAACTACCGTATAGTGGTATACCAGAGCCGATGGAAACAGGAGAGGTTTGTCGGGTGTAAATCTTATGTTTAGTTTTGCGTACTTGTATATATTGCGATATAATACAATTTTTAGCCACCCGCTGCCGTACCATCTCCGGCTCAGCAGTTGGAGGAGAAGGTAAGTGTTTCTTTTCTTCGCTTACATTCGTTTGCTAATGGAGGTTTCTACAGGCTAGAAAGTGGAAACAACTACAGTCGAAAAGATATGCAGAAAAAAGGAAATTTGGCGTGGTAGATTCACAAAAAGAGGAGATGCCACCAGGTTTTCAACTTGATTTTGGAAATATTTGGTTGAATGTTTCCAGGGTTTCATTTTCAACTATGTCTTTTCTCTGCTTCTTACCCATAAAAACGGATGCCGGTTTTCTAATAACGGCCAATAATTTTTCAAAAAATGAAATAGTTGATGAGTTGACGACTTCGTAATCTCTTAGAAGAGGCTTTGGCCTGTCTATACTAGAAGAGCAATTGTTAGTGCAAGCGCTGCCTCCATAAACGTCAAAATTTGTTGCGGGGACACTGTTTTGTCCTGTTCTACGAAATCCTGTTCAATCATTTCGTTATTGGAAATACGGGTGTTGGCAAGAAAAATGGAGGAAAAACGTTGTGCTGTCTAGAACATCTATTGTAAGCAGAGATGTGTAGACCCTAGTGGTTCTGACTGAAATTAATAAAGTTTACAATGAACCGAGGTATAAATGTTTATACGCGAGGGACGAATTTCGTTCATATTTGGTTATGTACATTGCAAATCATTCATTATGGGTTAAAGCGTTCACTTTTCAGAACACGTTCGAAAGATTATTCGCGACCATGGTGACATGACGTCACGAAAATTCAGACACGATAAACGTGTTTATTTGGGAGCTTTGAAGTACATGCCGCATGCGGTTCTAAAGCTTCTCGAGAACATGCCCATGCCATGGGAGCAGATCAGGGATGTTAAGGTTACCTACGTACATACAAACTTCTATATATATATATATGTGTACATGTGTACTTATGAGTGCATGTATATGTGGATATAGATACATATATATACACATGTCTATATACACATGCGTATTTACGTGTGTATTTGTGTGCGTACTGTGTGCACACGAACATATGTTTATATGTATGTTAATGTTTACACACATATGTATACGTATCTGCATGTTCTATGAATTACAATTGAAAAAGGTGTGTGATTATTGCGAGTCGGATGGTTAGAACCAAAAAAAAGACTAGGCGAGGAATTAGTCACAGTGTTGTAGTACTTTAATCAACAGGAAAACATACAGCGTGCAGCATGTTTTTCATGTGTGTTTTCTAGGTTCTGTACCATATCACCGGGGCTATTTCTTTCGTAAACGAAACCCCTCGTGTCATAGAACCAGTATATCTTGCTCAATGGGGCACAATGTGGATCATGATGAGGCGAGAAAAGAGGGATCGTCGCCATTTCAAGGTTAGCCTACTCTTGCAGCTTACGCCATTGCATCATACGAAAAGGTTGAGATCAAAGAAACGTCCTATATTGTTTACTCTATTGTGGCTCTCAATGTCGGTGAGCTGTTTAGTATCATGGTAGTTTACGTCATTTGTATTTTATTTTCAGCGTATGAGATTCCCGCCATTTGATGACGAGGAACCGCCTCTTGATTATGCTGACAACATACTTGATGTAGAACCTCTCGAACCTATTCAAATGGATTTGGATCCCGAAGAAGACCAGACAGTTGCCGAATGGTTCTATGATCATAAGCCACTAGCTAGCACAAGGTCTTTTTTTCATATGATATTTTGTGCGTACTACTTCGCTTTCAGTCTTTCTACGTAATGTAGTCTTGCTTTTGTGTAATACATTTAAACGTTTTCAGATTTGTTAATGGCCCAACGTATAGACGTTGGGCGTTCAGTATACCTATTATGGCTACCCTATATCGCCTTGCTAATCAGCTCCTCACCGATCTCACCGATGACAACTATTATTATCTATTTGATCTTAAGTCATTCTTTACTGCCAAAGCGCTTAATGTGGCGATTCCTGGTGGACCAAAATTTGAACCACTGATAAAGGACATTAATCTGTTAGTTCTTGTTTTCTCCTTTTTGAATTTAAACTTCAAGTAATTTGGAGCTTCCAACCATGCTTTCCTTTCCTTATTCCAGTGATGAGGACTGGAATGAGTTCAACGACATCAATAAAGTCATCATTAGAGCACCAATACGCACAGAGTATCGCATCGCATTCCCATATATGTACAACAATCTTGTAAATGCTCTTCCAGTTCAAGTATCTTGGTGAGTATTATTTCAAATGGGTTTTTCCAAATGAATTCGATGTTCATCTCCTCTTTAGGTACCATACACCTTCAGTGGTATACATCAAAACAGAGGATCCCGATCTTCCAGCGTTTTACTTCGATCCATTAATCAATCCAATTGCTGTTAGTGGATTAGATAAGGTGAAGGGTATGAGTTGTTCTAATAGGACAGGATCTGTTCAGTTATTTTGAGTACTGTCGTACATGGTGCTTAATTTTATTACAGTTTACAATAAAGAGTACCTGTGGGTTAGGCAATTATTAGCCACTGCTTCAGTCCACTCCTTTTTAATTTTACTACAGTCACCCTATTAAATTGAGACATATCTGTTATAAAATAGCTTACTTAGTTGAAAAATAAGCGCAAGTATGTTAGGAGGTGCTAAGAAGAGCAGCATCTCCTTGAATGATTGCGCGACAGAAAACACGTCTTTGGCGCGATTGGTCGAAGAATGATTTACAACTGATGTGGTGTCAATTGTCATCTGCTTAGTTGTGGACTCTTCTTCATAGAGTTTCTAAGTCCAATCTAGATTTAAGTCGTTACATTTAACATCTAAGGTGTTTTCGGTGTTCTTTTTACGTTTTAGTAACGAGTCGAAGTAGTGTGTTCTTTACGCTTTAGACTGTGGAACATTTACCTGATGACAATGAAATGGATGAATTTGAGCTTCCTGAAGAAGTGACACCAATTTTTGAAGAGGTAATTCTAAAGAATTTTTTATCGTACTTTCTTTGACATTCTGTGCGAAAGGTCCCACTATACACTGACAACACTGGTAATGGAATGGCCTTACTTTGGGCACCTCGCCCGTTCAATATTCGTTCTGGCCGTACAAGGAGGACTATCGACGTACCTGTTGTGAAGACGTGGTATCGGGAACATTGCCCAGCTGGTCAGTCTGGTCGTTGTAGCTCTTTGAGACATTCGCAACAAAGGTTAATATCTCGTTTTCTTTTTCAGCAATTGCAAAGTTGTTATTCAGGACACGTTTAGTTCCTTACAAAAGCAACACATGCAACACAACGGTAGCTGACATTTCGGCAGTATCGCCTTCTTCAGAGCCTGAGGAGTACACCGATATATAATTTACTAGATCAAACCGTTCAGTAGCACACAGAAAGATGAAAAATCTGAGCGGTAATTGCACAATTAACAGCTTCTCGAGAAATCCACGGTTTTTTACTTGGCAATTATCGTTCAAATTTTTATCCTTTTTGTACTTTTGAAGGGTTTGACCTGATAAATTACGTATCGCTGTGCTCTTCCAGGCTCTGAAGAAGGCGATACTGCCGAACCACCAGCTACCGTTTTGTTGTGTATGTTGTTTTTGTAAGGATCTAACGTGTGCTGAATAACAACCTCGCGATTGCTGAAAAAGAAGACGAGATATTTATAATCTATTGCCGAAATTAATAGAAAATCGATCTTGGGAACTCTTAGAACTTGTACCAACAGTAACATTTTATTTTTAGGAATGCCCGTGAAAGTACGCGTATCTTACCAAAAACTGTTAAAAGTGTTTGTGTTAAACGCACTTAAACATCGTCCGCCAAAGCCACAAAAGCGTCGGTATGTGAAAGCTATCATTGTTGTACTTTTAATGCCGTAGGTAGAGTGTTTTTTTTTTCGAAAGAAAGCTATGTAATTGTTCAGTCTGTTATCTTAACGACTGTTGAGATAAATGTGTTTGCATTGAAAATTTTCGTAAAAGTGGAAGGACGAAAATAGTATTAAAGTGACTAGCGTGATCGACCTCGATCTGTATCAGTATTGCGATTCCAGATACTTGTTCCGCTCTTTTAAATCTACAAAGTTCTTCCAAACAACCACGCTAGACTGGGTGGAAGCGGGATTACAGGTGAGACCAATCATTATGAAGATCATTACGCTTTTTTTGTGATATGTTTCCCCAGTAATTTTCTCATTGTATGTCGTAGGTGCTTCGCCAAGGATACAACATGCTAAACCTTCTTATTCATCGTAAGAATTTGAACTACCTTCATCTTGATTACAACTTCAACCTTAAGGTATGTTCACTTAATCTTTCCATGCTTGTTAGTTTTTACTTACGGCCTGTTTTTTTAGCCAGTGAAGACGTTGACAACGAAAGAACGAAAAAAGTCACGTTTTGGTAACGCCTTTCATTTATGTCGTGAAATTTTGCGATTAGCAAAATTAGTTGTTGATGCGCATGTACAATACAGGTATTTCATTACAACTATGATGTCTAAGTACAGATTGTGTCTGTTTATTATTCTAATATTGTCGTTTCTAACTGTAAAGACTTAACAATGTCGACGCATATCAACTTGCTGATGGTCTGCAGTACATTTTTGCACACGTGGGTCAACTGACTGGAATGTACCGTTACAAATATAAACTTATGCGACAGGTACTACTTGCTGTCGTTTTTGTGTAACGTTTTGGTAACAATGAAATGAGCTCTTTTAGGTGCGAATGTGTAAAGATTTGAAGCATATAATCTATTACCGTTTTAACACCGGAGCTGTTGGTTAGTTTTCGGTTACCACTTGCTATCGTGTGACATTTGTAACACAACTATAACTAAAGTCAACTAATTGATTTTTAGAAAAAGGAAGTCTAGTGTACATGTTGTTTACGAATGTAAATTTTGCGTTTAATCTAGTTCGTTCTCTTTTCATTTCAGCATTTCTATGTCGATCGGTATCTATGTTGTCAGAAACAATTATTTTTAGGTAAGGGACCTGGGTGTGGTTTTTGGGCGCCAGGATGGCGTGTCTGGTTGTTCTTTTTGAGAGGAATCACACCTCTTTTGGAGAGATGGCTTGGAAATCTGTTGTCAAGACAGTTCGAAGGTCGTCATTCAAAAGGAGTGGCAAAGACGGTTACTAAGCAGCGAGTGGAGTCTCACTTTGACCTGGAGTTAAGGTAACTTTGTTGATATCTAGTTGTTTTTAAGGTTCTCGGAGCTTGAACTAGTATTCATTTGGCAGATATTATTGAATGAGTTGTAGCCTCCCTCCACCCTTCCACCCAATACATCTCGTATTTTTGGTAATCATTTGGCTAGCAATTTTTAGACATAATCAAACGAGTTCAACTTGTACAATATGCCTCATATTTTATCCAGGTTGATAAAAGTTTGCTTCAGGGCTGCCGTGATGCATGATATCCTTGATATGATGCCAGAAGGTATTAAACAGAATAAGGCTCGTGTTATTCTACAACATCTCAGTGAAGCGTGGCGTTGTTGGAAAGCAAATATCCCTTGGAAAGTTAGCGAATGTGTTTTTCTTCACCTGTTGGGTTTTCAGTGACTTTTTTTGCCATTTTGTAGGTGCCTGGTCTTCCTACTCCAGTCGAAAACATGATCCTTCGGTATGTGAAGGCGAAGGCAGATTGGTGGACTAACTCAGCCCATTATAACAGAGAACGTGTTCGTCGTGGTGCTACTGTTGATAAGACTGTGTGCAAGAAAAATTTGGGAAGGTTGACTCGGTTGTACCTAAAGGTGGGTTTGATATTTTATATTGTTCGCGAAACTGCGTTTCGGTTAACTTCGGCTTTAATTGGTATTCTGTCCTTAAAATTTGCCTTTGGAAACCAAGAAATGTTTTTTATTGTTAGTTTATTAATAAAAATGCGTAAGACAAGGTGTTTGTCCATCTGTTCATTTATTTACTGTATTTATTTGTTTTTGCCAGACCTACTGTTCATGCTGGTCCACTTTTTAGGCCGAGCAAGAACGTCAGCATAACTATTTGAAAGATGGGCCCTATATATCTGCAGAAGAAGCAGTGGCTATATATACAACAACTGTGCATTGGTTGGAATCTCGCCGATTCTCTCCGATTCCTTTCCCGCCTCTTTCTTACAAGCACGATACTAAATTGTTGATTCTTGTTAGTTCTTTTCTTTTTTTTTGCTGTTCAATCTGTGTTACTAAACTTTTATTTCGGACGGTAATAATTAGATGTAATCTTGCATAGGTTGTCTTCACTTATGCGTTTGTAGAAATGTAACAGATCAATCTACTGCTCCAAGTTTTTTAGGCCTTAGAACGTTTGAAGGAAGCGTACAGTGTCAAAAACCGTCTTAATCAGTCGCAGAGGGAGGAATTAGCACTAATCGAACAAGCGTACGACAATCCACATGAGGCACTTTCTCGTATCAAGCGTCATATGCTAACGCAAAGAGCTTTCAAAGTTTGTTTTAATTTCTATCATGCTAGTTGCCAACTTTATATGGAATTTCGGTTTTAGGAGGTTGGGATTGAATTCATGGACCTTTACACACATCTAATTCCTGTGTATGACATAGAACCTCTGGAAAAAGTGACAGACGCGTATTTGGATCAGTACTTGTGGTATGAAGCTGATAAAAGAAGGTATTTTATCTAGGTTTCAACTACTTTTTTTTCACTTGTTTGCATTTACAGCTTTATGAAAATGAGTTTTATCGACATGGAACAGTGATCGCTATTGAATCGGATCCAGCCGATTTTTTTTCTACTACAAATGTTTGGAAATTTGGTTGTAAAAATAGTATGCCGAGGATTTTGCCGTTCTTAAGGTTGTTCCCGTCATGGGTGAAACCTGGTGACACTGAACCACCCCCATTGTTGGTATACAAATGGTGCCAAGGAATTAATAATCTTCAGGATGTTTGGGAGACAGGAGAAGGTTGGTTTCTAGCATATTTTATATTGCTGGAAATTTCGACCACAATGGTTTTTAGGCGAATGTAATGTTATGATGGAAGCGAAGCTTGAAAAAGTCGCAGAGAAGATGGATCTTACGTTGCTCAACAGATTGTTGAGGTAGGTTATGATCACTGACAATATGGGAGTTTTGGTACATTCTTCTTGCAAGTGAAATAGTGCTAGTTTAGGTTGATTGTAGATCACAATATTGCTGACTACATGTCTTCTAAAAACAATGTTTTAATCAACTATAAAGACATGAATCATACAAACTCTTTCGGAATCATTCGAGGTCTTCAATTTGCATCTTTTATAGTGCAGGTATTGCCTAATTTAACAAATCGTTGCTTTTTTTCATGGGTATCGTATTCTGTTCACTTGGCGCAGTGGTGGCAATTATACTTTTGTACAAATTTGTCTCCTTGGTGCTTTCCCCTATTCGTTCGTCTGGTGTGTTTATTTTTCGCGGTTTAGTACTATGGGCTAGTCCTGGATCTTCTTATCCTTGGTCTGCGTCGCGCTTCGGAAATTGCTGGTCCTCCACAATGTCCCAATGAGTTTCTGACGTTCCAGGTAAATTCGGTTGATAGCTTTATAAATTTGGATTGACTTGCGGAACGATTAAACTACTACATTAGTATGAATTTTCTGATTTCTATAATTTTTTTTTCTCTAGGATATTGCTACCGAAACTGTCCATCCAATCCGCCTGTACTGTCGTTATATTGATAGGATCTGGATAATGTTCAGGTATTTTTCGTGCAAGAAAATTCTCTAATGAGCACGATGGAAACACGTATACTGTTTAGGTTCACTGCGGATGAAGCACGCGACCTCATACAGCGCTATTTAACTGAGCATCCAGATCCCAATAACGAAAATATAGTGGGATACAATAACAAAAAATGTTGGCCAAGAGATGCAAGAATGCGTTTGATGAAGCATGACGTTAACCTCGGCAGAGCAGTGTTTTGGGACATTAAGGTTGGTTAAGAGTGTATCATGATAGTCAGTATTGCATTAAATAGATTCAGAGTCAACCCAGATGAACAATTTGTTTAGTTCATAAATGCCGACATTCTTGGACAGTGCATAGCTTGTCGTTACTAATATTTGTAGTTCCGTCGCGAACACAACTTCAGTTTACTTGAATCTATGATTATGCAGTTATCGCTTCGTAGACTGCACAATCTATGATTATGCAGTTATCGCTTCGTAGACTAGATGAGAGAAATGACCCACAAATACATTAGTAATTAGTAGAAACAATTTTACTTTTGAAAACGAGGTTTGTTTTAAACTCCGTGTGATTATTTCGAAACCGACTTTCCTTGAACTTCGGTATTCACTAATCAAAACCACCTCACCTCACCTCGGTAATCCTCGGTGTCTGTGTGATTAGTCAATATCTTGATGTAATGGTACGCTAGCAAGAGGTTCTGCAAAACTTTTTGCGTTACTCCAGTACAGTGAATTCGCTTTATTCTCCCTACGAAAACCAACATCGCAAGATTGAATGCAAGTACGCGACTGGTTTCATTGCGACTATAAGGAAGGTAAAAGCGTCGAAATATTAAGTACAGTAAGGTCTTATGGCGATTTCATGTTAGCTCATACTTTTAACGAGATATTGAAGTTTTTTTTTCTTCCGTTATTGTCAGGGTTTCCGAAACAGTTTTTAAGCGATCCGCCACTGTAATTGAATGCGTTGTATAGTGACCATTCGATACAATATTGGCTAAGATTTATGCTTTATATCTCATTTTAAATGTAAAATGCTTAGAATCGGCTACCCCGATCAGTGACCACAATTGAGTGGGAGAACGCCTTCGTGTCAGTGTACAGTAAGGATAACCCTAATTTACTCTTTGATATGGCTGGATTTGAATGTCGCATCTTGCCTAAGTGTCGCACAACTGCTGAAGAAATCACTCATCGTGACGGAGTTTGGAACCTACAAAATGAGGTGTGTTTTAACATAAACTTTTAAGGAGCCTACGATAAAAGTTAGTGGTTTGATAATTCTAAATTTCGAAATATATAGCTATTTTATAGGTCACCAAAGAACGAACAGCTCAGTGTTTTTTGAAAGTTGATGAAGAATCGATGTCGAAATTCCACAACCGGATTCGTCAAATTCTCATGTCGTCTGGATCAACAACGTTCACAAAGATTGTCAATAAATGGAATACAGCTCTTATTGGACTCATGACCTATTACAGGTGGGGTCTGGTATTATAGCATGCTCTAGTTGAGTGCTGATATGTCCAAGTCGAACTAAAAATTGTTTTTAGGGAGGCCGTTGTAAACACACAAGAACTGTTGGATCTCCTAGTTAAATGCGAGAATAAAATCCAAACACGTATCAAGATCGGCTTGAACTCTAAAATGCCAGCTCGATTTCCACCTGTTGTGTTTTATACACCAAAAGAAATTGGTGGACTGGGTTAGATCCGTTTTGTTTTCTGGGTAACACTGTATAAATCAAGTGCGCTATTTAAGGTATGTTGTCTATGGGTCATGTGCTGATTCCACAGAGTGATCTACGGTGGATGCAACAGACTGATACGGGCGGCATCACACATTTCCGTTCTGGAATGACCCATGACGAGGATCAATTAATTCCCAATTTGTACCGCTACATTCAGGTTGATGGGACAACACTCTAGATTCCTTCAATTGTTTTTCACTTTTCAAATATTTGTTGTTCCACTGTTTTAATTTTACCAAATGGAGGCATTTTGAATCATACTATTACTTTCATGTTTCTTGCCCTATTGGTGTCTATAAAAAGTTTTTCCAGCCATGGGAGGCAGAATTTATCGACTCACAACGTGTGTGGGCTGAGTATGCGCTGAAGCGTCAGGAAGCGAATGCACAGAATCGCCGCCTTACGCTTGAAGACCTTGATGATTCTTGGGATCGTGGCATTCCGCGTATCAACACACTGTTCCAGAAAGATCGACATACACTAGCATACGACAAGGGTTGGCGTGTGAGGACGGAGTTCAAGGCGTATCAGGTATGATGCGTCTAGCGTCCTTGTTTCAACTATAACTTCCTTGATTCACCAATTTAACGCCTCTGTAAATGTGAACCGGTAGCAGCTGGATTTGATTTTGATGAGTTTCTGTTGTAGACCTAATTTAAGAGAAAGAGTTGAATGTACTTTTGTTTCAAGTAAGTTTAGATCTGACTACACTATTACCGAATCAGTCTACTCTTTTTAGTGCGAATTCTGCATTAGTATTATTACCAAATGGAACTCGGGAACAAATAAGCGCTTAGATATGTATCGAAAATTATCCGAATACTATTTTCAGATTTTAAAGCAGAATCCATTCTGGTGGACTCACCAGCGCCATGATGGTAAACTGTGGAACTTGAACAATTACCGCACAGATATGATACAAGCCTTGGGCGGTGTTGAAGGAATTCTCGAGCACACATTGTTCAGAGTTAGCTACTTTTGCATGTGTATTTAGCAACAAGAATATTTGCCTCTGTTTAAATGAGGAACTTATTAAGGGCACTTACTTCCCTACATGGGAAGGTCTATTTTGGGAGCGAGCTTCTGGTTTCGAAGAGTCGATGAAATTCAAGAAACTGACGAATGCTCAGCGATCTGGTTTAAATCAGATTCCGAATCGTCGGTTCACATTGTGGTGGTCCCCAACCATCAATAGAGCTAATGTGAGTAGGTGGAAAAATTTTAGTGAGAATTATTGCTTCATAACGATATATCTTATCTCCGATATTGAAGAAGCATGTGAAGGTTATAAACGACGAAACAAATTTCTTTTTCGACAAAAGGTTATGATATTTCAACACTTAAAGACCGACACAAGTCTATTAACATTCACTATCCACTCATTTTCTTAGTTGCGATATGTTTTGCCGTTTAAAGGTCTATTTGTTGCAGTTTTTTGAAATCAGTCCGTAAACTAACCAACGCAGATCATTATGCTAGGCATTGGACCTATATACAGTCTGTGTACATAATGCAGTGCAAAAAATTTTTACACGAGGTCATTCCGCGAAAGTGTGGCTGTTGATGGTGAACAGAGTATCCCACCATGAAGAATATTGTCATTCAGGAGGGGACAGAGGAACACCTGCATTTTGGTACTGTTACTGCGTGGCCATGAATAGATTGAGATTGTAATATATCCCATCAGATAGCGGAATGGATGAAATGATATAAGGAACATTAGAACCTGCAGATCCCTACAATATAGGGCCTTTCTTGCTCCGTCAAATTGGAGCTCTGATTTCATGGGGCTTACAAAACATAATTTCTCCATTCAACCACCTGTTTTACTTATCGGAGCTGTTCAAAAAGCGTTATTTCGTGCCGTTACGAGTTGCTGTCCTCTAACAGCGAGTACCCTCAAAAATTGAACAAGTAGATGCATCAGCGCTATGGACTTATGCGTCGCTTCCTACACCTTGAGATGGAAAATATCGTTCTCATTCCATATTTTCGAATTGAGATATTCCATTGATTTCCATATGGGTTATTCATTGCGACAGTATCTTATTTGTACGGTTTTTAGGTCTACGTCGGTTTCCAAGTGCAACTTGATCTCACTGGTATTTTCATGCACGGAAAGATTCCAACTCTTAAGATCTCGCTGATTCAAATTTTCCGTGCCCACTTGTGGCAGAAAATTCATGAATCTGTCGTTATGGATTTATGTCAAGTAAGGCGCACCCTACAAAAAAACACTGCTTCACTCAGAATTCGGGTCTCCATTGAATAAGTGTTTTTACTACTGTCAGGTTTTCGACCAAGAATTGGACGCCCTCGAGATCCAGACTGTACAGAAAGAGACGATTCACCCAAGGAAATCGTACAAAATGAACAGTTCCTGCGCTGATATACAGCTGTTTGCTCAGTATAAGTGGAATGTATCTCGTCCGTCATTAATGGCTGATAGCAAGTAAGTTTTGCCAAGCACCATTAACCACATCTAACATTTTTCGACTCGTTCACTGTAAACGATATTATAGCGTTTTTTTGGATTTCCGGTGCTGAACTCTTCTTATTTGCAGGGATGTAATGGATAGTACGACAACACAGAAGTATTGGATTGATGTTCAACTCCGATGGGGTGATTATGACTCTCATGACATTGAGCGATATGCTAGGTTTGTGTACGCTAATTTTTTTTTCTCGTCAATTTAAGACTTCGCAGCTCTTGAGGTAGCCGAACGTACATATATAAATATAAACGTATATAAATGTATATACGTACACATATGTATATGTAAAGTGTACATGTACGTACGTATGTATGCACATAGAATATGTCCATATATGGCCATATCTATGCATGTGTATGCATAAAAATGATTGTTTTATTTTTAGAGCCAAGTTCCTAGACTACACAACCGATAATATGTCTATTTATCCATCACCCACTGGTCTTCTGATTGCAATGGATTTAGCATATAATTTATACAGGTACAATCCATAGTGAAAGTGAAATAATATGAAGTATTGTTTTTATAAAGAGACAATTTAGTGCCTACGGGAATTGGTTTCCTGGAATGAAGCCGCTTATTCGACAGGCTATGGCGAAGATCATTAAAGCAAATCCTGCTTTCTATGTGCTACGTGAGCGCATACGTAAAGGATTGCAACTTTATAGTTCAGAACCAACCGAGCCGTATCTTACTAGTCAAAACTATGGAGAGTTATTCTCTAATCAAATAATCTGGTTTGTTTTTCGAGTTACTACTTTCGTTCTGTTACTATGATAGAAATCTCGTGTTTATAGTTGTTATTTCTATTACTATTATCACTATTATTAGTGCAGTTATTGACACTATTATTTGTTATTGCTGTTGCTATTGTTATTCATAGGTTTGTTGATGACACCAATGTATACCGTGTTACCATCCACAAGACCTTCGAAGGTAACTTGACCACAAAACCCATTAACGGTGCAATCTTTATTTTTAACCCGCGAACTGGTCAACTATTTCTCAAGATCATTCACACATCAGTGTGGGCGGGACAGAAACGCCTAAGTCAGGTGATTAATATATAAAAAATGTTTTGATTATACCGTTGTTTTAGATTTCCTTTAAGGAAGACATAATCTGAAGCATTTTTAGTTGGCCAAGTGGAAGACCGCAGAAGAGGTAGCCGCTCTTATTAGATCGCTACCTGTAGAAGAACAACCTCGTCAAATTATAGTTACAAGAAAAGCCATGTTGGATCCTCTGGAAGTGGGTACATTTAAATCAGTTGCATTCTTGTTTTTTTTTATAACATTGGTTGAATTACTATAGGTGCACCTTCTCGATTTTCCGAATATTGTCATCAAAGGTTCGGAGTTGATGTTACCGTTCCAAGCGATCATGAAGGTCAGTTAGTCCTTAGATGACAAAGATGTCACTGCAGCTTTTTTTGCGGTCTGCCTTACAGCACTAGGTGGACTGATTAATTCTTCGAGAAATTCCTTTATCTCTACGCTACTTAATACTTCGTTGTTTGGTAGCTCTGAAGGTCTCGAATAGAATTGCAAAGAGACATCGTTCATTGAACAGATCGGTGCTTTGTCTGCTATAAGCACAGTTCTACTAAATGGCCGAATAATGGAACTATTCCTTTCGTTTGGTAGGAGATGGATTTGGTTTAGGCTGGTCTTTAAATTTAGGTCGAGAAGTTTGGTGATTTGATTCTCAAAGCGACAGAGCCCCAAATGGTGCTGTTTAATTTGTATGATGACTGGCTGAAGGTGAGTATCTGCAATTATTTCTGCGTTGATTTGTCGCTTGACATTGCTTTAAGACCTTTGTTATTATCCTTAATATCTTTTTTAACAGCTTTTATATATTTTTATATATATATATATATAAGTATAGAGGCGCCTACCATGACACTGTATAAGACGCCATTGAACTAATATATATATATATATATACATATGTTATACATATGTTATATATATATATATAACATATGTAATATGTGTATAAATGTTATTTAAGTCTACAAGTTTCAGACTATATCGAGTTATACTGCTTTCTCACGAGTGATCCTAATTATGCGTGGTATGCATATTAATCCGGATAAAACGAAGGTTTGTATTTGCTGATTTGGTTTTTCATTGTGTTATTTGATGACAGATATCGTCTTAACTGATTGTGGGATCTAGGTGATTTTGAAACCTGACAAAACAACGGTTACGGAGCCACATCACATTTGGCCCTCACTTATTGACGAGGAGTGGATCAAGGTATGTTGATATTTGTGTAAAGTACAATTTTTTAATCCCCATGAAACAACACTGTTGAGTGAGAACTGCTACCGAACATCCGTGCCATCATTCTCGATCTTATTTTTTATATTGTTATTGTTTTTAACTCTTTATTTCATCTAGATGTTTTACATTTTTCTGAATTGGCTGATCTGTGTATTCTTCACCTTACTAGGTGGAGCTTGCTCTAAAGGACATGATTCTGGCCGATTACGGCAAAAAGAATAATGTGAATGTTGCTTCGTTGACACAATCCGAAGTAAGAGATATCATCCTTGGAATGGAAATCAGTGCTCCAAGTCAACAGCGACAACAAATCGCTGACATTGAGAAGCAAACAAAAGAGCAGAGTCAGGTATTTGTTTAAACGACATTCTACTCTCCGAAGGTTTTTTCACCTTATATGTCAGTTATTTGTTGAGTTATTGGATATGTTGTTTTTTTTGTTCCTTATCTAGTTGATATTTCAAGGTGGGTGGGACGGTTATGCCGACAAATAACGTTCAAAATTTTGCGTGCAATATATTAACATCTTCGAAACTTTAGGTGACAGCTACTACTACTCGGACAGTGAACAAGCACGGAGATGAGATAATTACCGCCACTACTTCTAACTATGAAGCCGCTACGTTTGCCAGTCGTACAGAGTGGCGAATCCGTGCCATATCTGCTACGAATTTGCATTTAAGGTGGCTTATCAGTACCGTTTCTGTGACGTTGTATTGGGGTGTTATCAATGTTCTTGGTTTTTTCTTAAATTATTAATCCTATGGTTTTTTCACACTGTTATTCCTAAACAGTTTTCACCTAGATTTGCAATGGTTATTTTTAGAACTCAGCATATTTATGTAAGCTCAGACGACGTAAAAGATACAGGATTTACTTACATTTTACCCAAGAATGTCTTAAAAAAGTTTATCACTATCTCGGACTTGAGAACTCAGGTACTATTTTACGGTATCATCGCTTGTAGTATTGCTGTTCTTTATCTTCACGATTTTGCTTGAAAACGTCTCTCTTACAGATTGGAGGCTTTCTCTATGGTGTTTCACCGGCGGATAATCCTCAAGTTAAAGAAATTCGGTGTGTGGTATTAGTGCCTCAGACAGGGAACCACCAGCAAGTACAGTTCCCCTCCAATTTGCCCCAACATGAGCTCCTAAAGGACTTTGAACCTCTTGGCTGGTAAGCGAAGTCCACTTCAGTTACCTTCGCTTTGTTTTCCTTAGTATTCGCTTTTACACTGTTTCTCCTACGACCTTGGATTTTTCTCTCGATTAGAGGAAAGCAGTAGTTACATTTTAGGATGCACACTCAACCAAATGAATTGCCCCAGTTGTCACCTCAAGATGTGACCTCTCATGCAAGAATACTTTCTGAAAATGCTAGTTGGGATGGTGAGAAGACCGTAATCATTACATGCAGGTAATTGCTAACATATACACGCTCATTTTTAATGGAAAATACTGGTGTCTTTCAAGTTTTTAAATCTTTTTCTTTTTACCTCGTCAGATTCTGCTTTTATTTCAGCTTTACTCCTGGGTCTGTCTCTCTAACCGCTTATAAGCTAACACCGTCAGGATATGAATGGGGTCGATCGAACACCGATCGTGGAAACAATCCTAAGGTAAATATGTTGTTGCGAATGGTTTGTTCCCTTATATAGCGACTAAGGAGCTTTGTATGTTATTGTCCTTGTTCTTATAGTTTTTGGGTTTAATTCTATACATCATCACCAATAATCTCCATTGGGTGAGCGATTTGTTTAGGGTTATATGCCAACGCACTACGAAAAGGTGCAGATGTTATTATCCGACAGGTTTCTTGGCTACTTTATGGTACCGAGCGGTGGTGTGTGGAACTACAATTTCCAAGGTAGTTTTTATTCACTGTTATTTGACAAACTGATTGTAATTTTCATGCTTTATTCTAGTGAGACATGCTAGGAAGTTTTTTCCTCTGAGTTCAACCCGTCTTTATTTGAATAAGAATTCAAGCAATGTTTTGAAGAGAGTTATTTAGTTCTTAATTTCGAAATCAGGTCAGCGATGGGCGCAGTCCATGAAATATGATGTTTGCCTTGCGAACCCAAAGGAGTATTATCACGAAGATCATCGACCTGTACACTTCCACAATTTCAAGGTTAGTTTTAAACAATGGATGCATAGGACTCCGAGAAATAAAAACTGACTTAAGAGCCAATATTTAATAAGTGTTCTATTATTTCTTGGTTGTCGGCTTTTTAGAACTGTATTGTTTATTTGTTCATTTCACTTATTTCTTTTGCTTTAGACGTTCGAGGATCCACTCGGTATTGCAATGGCTGATCGTGAAGACAGTTTTACGTGAAATCCGGGTACGGTCTCATGGTATGGAAGCTGAATTTGCCTAACTATTCGCTTTGATTTACATCCTAGCTGTAGGTAGTCTTAGGAAAGATTTATGTTGATGTATCGCATGAAGTTATTCTGGCTCTGGTTAGTGTAGAATGTTATTTGTTGCGCAACACATTTTGTTCTTAATTTGATACTCCGGAATTCCGTGTTTTATGTTGTTTTTTTTTCTGATCTTTTCGATCTTCGTTGTTTTATCAATAGTCCTTTATTACATTTATGAAAGACATTCGAGACATTCTTTGTACTACTTTTCATGTTCAAGCTTGGCAAATAACAAAGGGGAATGTCATGAGCTTCCTAATGCTCTTCAGATTTGTTATTGGTTATGTATGAAATTATTCATCACTTCAGTATTTGTTTGTTTTAAATATGAAAATCTGAAAGTGTTATGTGATGTTGTATTTGCAAACAGTAAACTTTATCGCTTGAACACGTGTAGGCTTGTGTGCAGTTCCGGTCTATGGCCTTTTTAACTTGATTTTGCCATTTTTTTCCTAGCAAAGGAAAAGGTTGCGAATACTTAGTTCATCTACGCTCAGTAGTACGGCGTTAGGTTAAATCCAATTATTGTCATGCAGATATTACAACTGTCATCGTCAGTTGGCTTGTACAGTCTATTTTAAAATTGTGTATAACCAATGACTCAACTTTAGGCAGAATCCGCAGGATTAAGAGAGAGTTTCTTGCGAGTTTTTGTAACGCTTTTTTGGAATCCGTATTAGTGTCAGTTATGTGAAGATGGCTTGCAATGGAGCTGGGAAACCGAAGATGAAGGTGTGACTTCTGTGAGAGTATATCTTATTATTCCTAAAATTACCCATATGGATTTGTTGAATCCAATGTGATGACTTTGATAATAGGAGTGTTTTGTTTCCAGCTTTCAGAATAGTTCGTTACTGTGGGAACTTCACGGCGAATTTCGTACATCCATTTACGTTGTAGTTTATTATGCAAAAATATCCTTTTATTCTAAACTTATAAACTGTATTATTGTGCATAGGCATTTGAAATTTTAGATATCCTTCATCATTCGCGACGAGAACGAACATCGTCACCGAGCTGCTGTTTCGGCGCTTCAGTATGATGCATCAACAGGTCGCCTATTCTCTGCCGGTAATGATACAATTATTCGGTTATGGAAGGTTCCAACGGCAGGAACAAAGGTATTATACTTTCGCTACTTTTCACGTGTATGATACAAAGCCATCGCTTCTTTTAATTTGCACATTTTGTGCGCAGAATAGATTGAACAATGATAACTAGCGCAGTTGGCGACTGTGTTTTCCCATCTCTTTTATTTTTTCCTTAAGAAACCTTATAATTGTTTTATGGTTGAAGTTATTCTAGGAAGCGTGGTCATCATATCGTAGCAACAATTTATCTGGTACTGGAGCACCACCGCCACAACATGCAGCCTTCATGCAAGCAATGGAACATCATACAGACTGGATCAATGACATGATTCTATGTGGCAGTGGACGATTTTGTGCGTTAGATCAATTGCATATTTCTTGTTTTCAGTTCATATAATTCTGTTTCAGTATTATCAGCTTCCAATGATACAACTGTAAAAGTATGGAACGCCACAAAGTATTTCTGCATGTCAACTTTGCGTACTCATAAGGTATGAGTGTAGTTCCAATACGGATTAATGATATTCTGCTAGTTTTCTCAGTACTATTGTAGGATTATGTAAGTTGTTTGGCGTATGCGAAGGAGCACGAGCGTGCTGCTAGTGCAGGTTATGATCAGTCTGTCTATCTGTGGGATATTGCAACTCTAAAAAAATTGACTACTACTAATAATACTGTTACAAGTAAGTGTAGGCTGATAAGCAACATTTTATGTTATTACATATTGAGATATTCTGTCCTTACAATCGAATTTCACTAGTTTCTTCGAAGTTGTTGAAAAGTTTTTAACCTTTATTGGCTAATATGACTTTTTTTGATGATGACTTCCAATTTTTAGAGACGTTTTTCTGTGCTGCAGTTTTTAATGAGCAAGACCTTGTTTCTGTTTCCCTACTTGAAGAGTAAACGAATCGTTTCCGTAACAACACAACAACCTCGTAATAAATGGTGAATTTACTTGAAAGTCGGTCTTTGGAAGTGCAACATTGTATTTTCAGCCTCATCTTTAATGGGTTGCAAAAACAGTATCTACGCTTTGGCGATGAACGACTCAGGAACAGTAATTGTTTCGGGAAGTACTGAAAAGGTAGAGCTTGGATCATTTAAAAATTAGCTAACGAACCCCTGTCTTTGTAGGGATTTCAGTTCAGTATCAAAACAAGTCACTGAATTTTTCGGTGTTTTCGCTAGTTTATAGTGCGCTAAATCCACAGAAGATAACGTACCGAAATGCCTGTAGTACGGCCAATTTGTTTTCACAGTGCTATTTCTGCAAAATCTTAACTTCTTTTGAAAAAAAGATATATATATATATACATATACAAGCCCTTACGAACTGCCCTTGTTGAGCTGGTGCGAGGTTAATGCAAATTGTCGTTGTTGTTGGTGTTATTGCTATTGTTGTTGTTCGATGACTGACGTTTCGACGATTTCCCCTTCTTCAGAATCCGGACGTATTTTATTTAACGATAAGCCTATAATTCAGCGAAAATTCTGTACTATTAATGAAGATCTGACCTGTTTTCAGTGATTGTGCGGAGCCAGCATAATTTCCACTCGTCACCATCATCGTCCATGATGGTGGTCTGCTTTCAACATGGTGACGTCCGCCAGGCTCATTCCGCAATCCTGAATTCGTTGCCATCTGCGAGTGTGGGTGATTGACGTTAGCACCGAATGCGTCCGCATATCGTTCGGTTGGTCTTCCAGAAGGACACTTGCATTTTATTGCAGTCCACTGTTCAGAAAGTAGAAACTCGGGCGATTTTTTGCCAGTGGGGATTTCACAGTCCGAGATGGTGATTGTGAAGCGGAAAGATTGTTGTAGAACATTTCCGCTGTCAATTCCATATCTCGATGGGATGTAGTGGACTGCCATCTTCGTTCATCAGTGCTCTTAGAGGAACAGTACAGTCGCAAGGATACCGATGGCACTTCTTCAGACTGGATCGTTTTTGAGCTGCTTCTGATAACTTTTTCTGGCTATCCTGCTGTAAAAATCTTCTACAGCTGACATTTACTATCAGGCGTAATGGCTGTGTTACATTATGAGCAAGCTTCAGTCTCCTCTTTGGAAACAACTCTTTGGTGGTAATGGAGGAACAGTCTGAACTTCTTGTATGAGGGTCTGAGACATTTAATAGGAGTTATTTTCCAGCTAACTGTTAAATTTAATTTTCGCACGAAGGCGATCAGGTCCTGTACGGAATTCAAATACCACTTAAATATCGGTGAGGTACCATTTTCAGTTTGTGAGGATGCGATCGATTTTCGCATGAGTCGTGTTGTTAGGAGACTCCTATGTCTATCGGTGATCTGCTCTCTTATTGAAATATGAATTCCCATGGAAGAGGCGTGCTGCAGATAGGAGTTCTGCAAGACGATCTCGTTTTTCGTTTCGTTCTCCTATTCCGAATCCTCCTATACTGTATTCATTTTCATTGGCCATTACTAATCTGGTGTGGATGTCTACAACAACAAGTTTATAAAAATACTTCTGGTTGTGGTTGTAAAACGTGTTCATTTCGTTCTCATCAGCTGGTAACAGGTTGTGATACTAACATCCTTTAGACGCGCAAGTGCCAGACGAGGAAAGTTCAAGCGCGGTGAAAAGGTTTTGTATGTGGCTAGATGGGAAAAGGGTATACGACAAAGCCAACGTCTCCGACATTTCGCAACGGGAACTTCCCTCCACGAAGTATTTCGGTCTTCCTGCTTTTAGTCTTTTATAAGTTAGTCACATGGAATTTGATGCGAAGAACAGTCTCATGAAGAGCCAAAGGTCGACGTCTGAAGAGAGTGTTCAGGCGTTATAGGTGCACAGCAAGAAGTAGAGCGTGTCTTGGACGTGCTCATTTTGTTTGTTTCTAACGACGTCCTGTGCAATCCGAGGGCTGGTCGCAGCTCACCGGTCGTCTCACCTCCCGATGTCGTAGACAAGAGTGCCAAGTGTGCAGTGTACGGAGGCTGGGAATTTGGTAGCTTAGCCGTTGAGGTTCCTTGGAGTCTCGAGGTCGGCTTAATCGAAGCCTTCCTCAGGTTGTCACCACCCCAGGCAGTCGCAGCTCTTGTGGATCAGTTGAAGATGCGCTACCATTCGACTAGTTTGATACTAAGATCGGGTTCAGCTTGGAAGGCCCTTAACGAGGATGAACCCTCGCTGCACATCACAGGCCGACACCCGAAAGCACTTCCCAGCCACCGCGAACGGTAAACCGTTAGGTTTCTTCTCAGTTATATGATTTTCCTTTTTTTCCTGAGGTATAATCTTGATAATCGTGCAAAGCGACCAATGATTTGCGATGACCCAGTTTATCTCTTTGGTTTGAATATGAATACGGTTCTCACAATAACAAGTTTAGCAGGTACTCTTCAGGTACTTCGAATTTGGGACCCACGAACGTGCCAAAAAATCATGAAACTTCGTGGGCACACCGAGAATATACGAGCTGTTGTTGTTAGCCCAGATGGGACAAAGGTAATTTTCACTGGGAACTGTTGTACTTATTGCCATAAAGTCAGAGTTATGCTTAATACCACAAAGTAATTTAGCAGTTCTTCGTATTTTTGTTGAGCAAACGCGAAGTGTTATTATTCCTTATTCACGAATAAGCTGACGTTTCGGCGGATTTCGCCTTCCTCAGAGCCTGGAAAGGTCAAGTTGATAGCAATCTACTCGGGGGCACATTATACTTCCATGTGATTTCTGTGCGGTTGGTCTCTACGTGACATACTTAGTGGAAACCTCATAGAAAGCGGTGAGTGTGCAAATGTGTTTAACGTGATTGAAATCTTGGTTTAGAGTTTCTTTGTTTGGTTA